ATCAGTGGATCTGCAGAGGAAGATCCAGGGCCCCTAAACTAAGAACATACTTCTCTTTGGTGACCATATAACAAATCCAGATGTAAGACAGTGAGCATTCCCCTATGCCTCTGAGATGTGTGTGACACCGTGGATCTGCAGAGGAAGATCCAGGGCCCCTAAACTAAGAACATACTTCTCTTTGGTGACCATATAACAAATCCAGATGTTAAGACAGTGAGCATTCCCCTATGCCTCTGAGATGTGACACCTGTATCAGATGAGTCCTTCTCAGATGTCACTGACAAACTACAAAGAGGAGCACGGCATTTCAGACAGTTGATCTCTGCAACCCTGCTGTAACACTGGGATAACAACACGTATTACAGATTTAAGAACACATTGACAAGATGAAAACAAGAGCTCCAGCAGTTTTGGGTGCTTAGCACATGCACCTGACCCCCGGTGGCGCAGAGCCCTGATTGTATATCAAACAAGCAAAGCTTCTAACTGCTTAAGCTACATCCCAGAGCAATTAGCATTTCTGCACATCCCAATCAGGCAACTCATGCTGGGCACCAAATGACAGAAATGCACAAGTGACCTCCTGCAAAAAAGCCGGCACGGTCAGCTGCTTCAAGCCAGGAGAGCATCGCACTCCACTGCGCCTTCTCCATAGTTTCCACATAAAGCCATCCTTTCTCTTTAGCTATACGAAGCAGGGGCCCTGCAGAGAAGAGTTACACTGCACTAGGCTGATTCAGAGAATAAATCTGCGCAGGGCATGAGGCAAGGATCGGGTGAAGACAGGATGATATGTAAGTAACAACTGTCACATTGCAGATGCATGACAGGACTGAAGCTGCAGTTCCAAATCACAGCAGTGGAGCTTAGCTTTTGAGGATTTGATTTTATACCTACAGTCTGGATTTATAATGTACCTCCTTATTTAAAAATAGTTTTTAAAATAGGTCGTCTAACATCTGGACTTGTATCAATGCTAAAACATGCACCAGCAGCTGCATTTAAACCCTTATGCCTGCAGTCCGGCTCTCTAGCAAAAACAATTGATAGCAATAGCAGGCTGTTGCGACGTGTGCAACTTACACAATGGGTTTGACACATTTTCTCTACAGTGTAGTAACACAGAGACTTGGGTCTCTGAGGCTCAGTTCCAGATTTTGGAGAAACACAGACAGTGGGCACAGTGTGTGCACCTGTAATCCATCCCAGGCTTCTCTCCTCTCCAAATGCCCCTGGCTCCTCCTGCTTGTATCCCACTTTCTCCACCACCTGCTCTTCCTATAGCTATCCCAGCTGCCTACACTCCAAGTCCTGCTTCACCTTCTTATTTCCCTGACTCAGAGCTTCTCTGGAGCTCTTGCTTTATATTTTCTTCCAGCTTCTCCTCACCCTGTTTTAGCCCTCTGAGTTTGAATGTGTCGTTTCTCCCCATCTCCTTTCATGCTCCAGGTTCACCTAAGGGAGCAGACCAGGCTGCTTGCTGCCTTTAGTGGCTGTGCACAGCCAGCACAGCACAGAGGCCAGATTATGAAAAACTTCTCTGCTTTTGTAGCAGAGACTCCTAGCAGGTGTTAGATGTCCTACGCTTTCATAAATTACACTCAATTTGCAACTATCCTGTATTTTCAGACTGCTCTGAAATTTAAAACATAATTATGCAGAGGTGCAGAAGCGGCACAAAAGAGTTGCACCTAGATGTAAGTGGTTGGGCCAAGGCTGATCGATCCATCTTATATACACCGAGCTAAGTCTCCCTCCCATCCTATAAAGACTAGCAGATATTCAGCCCAAGTGCAGTGGTCCTCCAGTCCAACAACAAAACTTGCCACATGCCGATTTCATTACCAGGTAAAGTTCTGTACAACAATCCGATGTGATGAGGGTTAACTTCAGTACACGCTAATTGCATGTGAGGGCATCTATGAACATTATTTGCAAGCTTTATTTTTGGCATCTCAAAATGAATCTGTCAAGCTAATGATATTCTGAGAAGGTCTTAACATTTCAAGTGCTGTGGGAAGTACAGCACTGCTAACACCTGCAGCAGGTGGTAATGCTCCCGATAAGTCAGCGCTGAACCACTGAGCATGGGAGTGCAGTCTGTCGGAGAAGACAAGCAGAGTCCAGCTCTCCTTAGCAGTCATTCAGGGTCCTGCAGCTCGCTTCACAGTGGGAGTGTTGGACTTTGCTTCATGGCTATGTTCCAACTCAGGCAATTGCATCTGAACCGAGTGTCCTCTGCTGCTTCTGTTGGATGGGCACATAAGCGCCTCACTATTCAGTGACACTAGTTCTCACATGAATGTGATACACATTGACATGTCTGATGACAATGCACAGCAACACGTATGTGCAGAAAGTATTGATTACCATCCTGCCGATAAACCTACTGGCAAGACTAAACTAGATAAGGCATGCCACGTCAATGGGAACAGCACAGAAGGACAACCCTGATGCAGCCAGATCTGCTAGACAAAACTTTCTGTGTAAGAACAAAGCTGCCTGTACCAGACAGGAGGAGAGAGGTAGAGGAGCCTGTTCGTCCCACAATCAACAAGAAAGAAGGGGGCTTAAGCTAGGAGACAAAAAGCAATGCTACATTTTAAGGCAAGCAGCATCCACCTCAAAAGGCTGACTTTAGATGGAAGATTTATGTCTTCAGCAGTGTGAAGGTCTGTGGGATGCAATTTTCTTCCCCCCCCCCCCCCCCTTTTTTGGGGGGGCAGAAGGAACATAAAACCCCCATAAACACAAGCTAGGTAGTACCAGGTTTCACAAAGTTTCAGATTGGCACATCAGTCACAACAGAAATCTCCTTCTTCCCCCTCCCCCATCTACAGTGGGCCACCAGTACTGCACTTGGAGACTGGAAGACAAATGGGCAGCTGCCTCTAGAGGCAATTGTGAGGAGACTAAAGATCAACTTGCAGCTGGCACTTCCACCCCCACCTCTCCTTAACACTTCAGTCCACTTGCTGCCAGACAAGGATCATGAGTCAGCTCCTAAACATATTCTCCTTGAAACAATAGCTATAGCTCTCTGCTGCAGCTATACCACTACTCTGGCTCCAAGGGACACGCCACAGTTATGAAAACAAAAGGACCGATTTGAACCTACAGCAGCCCAACACCAGAACTGAATGATATAATAAGCATGCACTAAAGAATGCTATCCTAAACCTGTGAGATTAGCAAAGCTAATTTTGACATGTAACAGGCATGAAGTCAGTACTGTAACAAAAATCTGCAGAAGCAGCAAATAGAAATGGTTTTGGGGCTACATGGTAAAGCAGCTGGCTTTTGCATAAACCTTTCAGCTACAACAGGGTGCAGTTTGATACCACGGCATTGTACGCTGCAGTACTAATTAGAGGGCAAAAGGAGCCAATTTAGCCTTTACAAATTAACTTTATCACCACTATAGGAGCTACTGTCTCAATTCTAAGTAGCCACCTCTCACTGAAACTCCTGCTTTCACAAAGGTGGAACTCCAGTGCTCATCTCTCAAGGACATTTCAAGAAGGAAAAAGCTTCCTTTTGCAGGACATTTCAGCTTACCACCTAATGATATCAGACTCAAACTTTAGCTTTTCTGACCCAAGTGTTGTCAGATGATAAAGAATTCAAAGAAGAGGAAAGAAAATGCATTGGAGATTTCTCAGAACTAGACATTAAGTGATGAACTGGTGGTGACTACTGAGTGTTTAAAGAGCTGTGCACATAGTAAAGGTTAAACATGGGAGAGTCTATGCCCATGCAAAACACCCTCAAGAAATATCAACACCCGGCGCACGCCTTACCTGCAGACAGTCCACTGATATCCTCTGAAGAGATGTTGCCGAAAGAGCTACAGTGCAAGCTAACATGTTAGGAAACTTAAGTGAATGCTACTTTTACATCTTTATTTCTAGCTAAGGAGTAGGCAAAACCAGTTGTCCTTTCTCACCTCACTGTAATTTGTTTCTTACAGCTCAGTATTGCCAATTACTTCGAAGAAGTCTCTAACCCAAAATACCAACATGTCTTGAGCCACATTGCCCTACAAGCCAGAAGGCAAGTTGGAGACAGAAATAAAAGACTACAGCACAACACGTTCAAAGACACAGGACAATTAAAGAAAAGTCTGATTCTCCTTCAGCAGGACCCTGACAGGTGTGTTTTGTGGGACTTGCGCAAGACAAATTAGAAGGTTCTACTGTTAATGCAGTGCATTGATTTTACCATCAACAGAAACGTGAGTAATGTATACATTCTGTATGAAAAGATAGCAGACTATATACATATGTATCTTTTAAATTATTTTATTTTGTGTAAGCTAAAAGGAAATTTACACACTTAAATCTCAAAAGACCTTGGGCATGCACATTGACCTTTTTAGAGGTTCTTCTACATAGCGCTCTTTTTTCCATAGGAATTTCCCCAGACATTTACAACCCATAGTTTTTTACTGTATATACAGCCTAAAACCATAGCAATCTATGATTATGTCATTTTACACTGTGCAAAATCAAACAGGAATAGTGGTACAACAGAACATAAAAATTTTTAACAGGTAAATTTCATTGTAAGACATTCATATAGTTTTGGTCCTTCTTTTCCAAATCAAACTGATTAAAAGAAGACAACCTTCTAATGACCCAAAAAAATCAAGTGTTTAGACAGCGATCCATAACTGGAACAAGAAGTTACTGACAGCATAGCTTTCAAAAGGCTATACAGTGACAGAGCCATACTATTGAAGTTTAAGAACATAAAAATTGATCAGCCAACCAAATAGGGGGAGGGGATGGGAGAGAAAAGGAAAAACACATCTTAAGCTTGTTAGAACACAATAGAAATTATTGGATTTTAAAGAAACAACAACTGAAAACCCACAAAGGGACAATGTAACCTTTTGGTTTTTTCCCCAGCAACATGTATTTTAATATAGGCAGGAAAGAAAAAGATGCTCAACGCAATCTAAAAACCTTTAAGGGGGACTTCACAGATTGTGAAGATTGAAGTTTTCATTATGTGTTTCTAGGTTTTTTTTTTTTTTAACTTTTTAAAGTTTTGTAAGAAGGACACCACCAGTGTATTTCACAAAGACATAAATGTATACACCCCAGCACAACAAAAAGAATAGATCTTCAAAAAGATTTACCCCCAATTATTTACATTTTTCTCTAATATAAATTTAGGACTCCAGTATGTAAATAAATATACATTACTATGTATACCTTTCTAGTGCTGCTTACCAACAAATCATCTGAACTTGATTTTTTTTAATTAAAGCAAGATTGCTTTTTACGACCCACAGAGGGAAGAAAAAAAAAATCAATAGAAAACGTCCAATTCACATCACTTTAGTCTACCTTTTCTTGGCAGCTTGTTGAAGGTGTTAATGTGGCTGGGAACATCAACACCTTGGCATGCATGAAAGTTAAGTCAGGAAGGCTAGAAATCACCTTGGCAGCCTCTTCACTAAGATGTTCTTCCTTTTTAGGCTTCCTGTTGAGAAGAAAAGAACAAAGTGCATTAATCCAGTACCTGATATCCCTTGGATCACTGAAAGAACCACTGATTGAAGCAATGTTCTGGCAGTTTGTCTCCCATTGACAGGCACTTCTGTAAGCTACTTGAAGCTAGTCTAATGTTATAATATCTACCTGCCTACCAACAAAATGTTAACATAGGAAGTCAGCAAAATGTTCCTGAATATTGTTGCAATAAGGAAAAAAAAAGATTTCCTATTCAGATGCTAATTTTTATATATTTTTGTTTTTTTCTGGCAGGTTCCAGCATGCCATTCTGGGACTACTCACTTGAAGAAACAACCATGCCCATATTCTAGGGATAAGACAATAGAAGCATTAGTTCTAAACTACCTAAATCCAGTATAATCTTTCAAAATAAAACAGAAAAAAATCTTGAAAGGACATTAAGAGGTTCCCAACTTACTTCTTAATACTTTTAAAAGAAAAAGAACGTACTTGTGCTGTGTTTCTGACATGACTGTACTCAGATTATACATCATACCTCTCTACATCATGATCCACAAACCCTTTTTTCCCCCTAGGGCTCATCAGCAGCAAAAGGTGGCTCACAACTTGTAGCTACTTGCTTTGAAGTGCAGTACTATGTGTAGCCATAATGATACATACAGCAGTTTGGGAATCACTGGTGTTTACTTTGCCTTTTGCATTATTCACAAGAATTACTGAGTGCAAGCGAATAAAGAGGTCTGAATCCCACGTCGCTTGATTCTCACTATTATGCAAGAAACTCACATTTCCTAAGTAAAATCAAGCCTGGCTCAGACTGCTACAGAAGACCCTCCTCCCCTGCCCAAGCACACGTACTTTACAGACATCTGGCTTATCTTGAAGAACGCTGCCTATTACTAGAAAAACTGAGTATTCCATCAAACACTATTCCAGTTCCAAAAAGACACCTGCTGCACCCTGTAACGACATCAGAAATTCTAGCTAAATAAGCTCCTTCATCTTCGGGGCAAAAACCTGAGTCAAAAGGCTTGAACCAAATAAACTGCCTTTCCCTAGAACACTTCAGAAATTTCCTTTCCATATCTCGTCTTAGCTTTAAACTGAGCCCATGAGAGGGCAATCACCACTCTGATCACAAAACAGCATGTACTTATATTTTCTTCTGTCAGCACCCATCAGGATTGTTTCCTGAACTGATCAGAGTTGGGGAAAAGCAAGGGGCTATGTGTTTGCTTCAGCAGCAGTCTCAGACTTTCTTAGCTAGGAGGAGAAGAGAGCTGGAGTCAAACTCATCCTTGACATCACTGATCATTGTGTTGACACTGAACTATCACTTATGTTTGCTACTTGAAAACTCCACTTGATGAAAGATCTCTAGATGAGGCAGCCTAGATACTAAATCTGACTTTCCTTCACTAGAATAGCAATATTTTCTTTTCTCTGCTGCAGTGGAATTTCATGAGCCACTGACTAGGCAGATTACCAAATTCTGGAGGATAAACAAAGCTGTGTGCTGGATTTATTGAAGGAAGAAGCAGAGAGCCAATATGTGCCTTCTTCTCTAACAACTTCACAGTCAGCTCTGTTTGTACTCGAAGGACTATCTCTGAGCTGTTGAAATGTGGTTGTCACCCACCACTGTGTTATCAGTATCTGGTGCCACTATTAGTAATCACTTACCACAAGCCTCTTAAAGGTACAAACTCCTGGTGATCAAGGACTTACAGCTAACAAAGGAGTGTTTGACAGAGGAAGCCAAAGGAAGAGGGCTGACTCAGAGATCTGCATTAAAAGGAGTTCCTGTAATTGTTAATCAGGCACCGAGATGGAGCTCACACACTCCTTGCTATTTATATGCCTCTTCCTCCTCTGCTCAACTGTGGCATGCTAAGAAACAGCACTTCTGGGTCCCAGAGGCAGTGCTGCATTTTATTTGGTGATCATATGGAGGACCTTTATCACAGGACGATGCTATTGCTCTCTGAGGACCTTTATCACAGGACGATGCTATTGCTCTTGCTGTACTAGCTGGCCTCTGCAACATCACCGCAGAACATGCACACCAGTGAGCGCAGTCAGATGTGACTCTCACCCGATTACCGAATGCTCCCCTCCTGGCTGAATGCCCTTTGCAATAATTTATCTACTTAATGTGCTGTGTAAAAAGTATCTATAAAGAAGGACAAGCTAACACACTTACACAGCAAACGTTATTTAACTATGACCAAGTTACAGCTATAGATACGATCACTTGGTAACAAGGCTCAAAACCTTTTTTTAAATCATCTCGGTGCAGAGAGGGATAAGACAGCCTAAAGTCTCTATTCCTTAGTGAAGAGGGGCAGGTTCCTCCAGAAGACAATAAAACTGGATACTGCAAGTACCCTTTCTGGGTAACAGTCAGCACCTTCGGTAGCAAATATCACCAGGGCAAACCCTGAATAATTACTCACTAACTCTCTAAGCTTGAAAGACAAAGTAGCACCATCACTGCAGATTGTTTTTACCCTTAAAACTTAGCAAATTGCCTAATAACTGTGATGCCTTTTGATAGAGGCAAGAGAAAGAACCATGTCAGGTCCATTAATTTCAGTCACCACTTTTGTTGAAGATGTTCCCACTGGCAAGAGATTCTTTTGCTAGGCCTTGGTCTGGGGAGCAGGGGGCATTGCAGAGCTTCTACTCATGCACTCTTGATTTCTAGCAACTGTGGCTTACAGAACGGACACCCAAGTGGATTGTCAGCGGCAGCTGTACTACCTTTGCTTTGGAACCAGAACTTTTAACTACTAAACCATTAAAGGACCCAGACCCAGCTCAAAACAGGGTTCCGGCCTATTCAGGTATTAAAACTACCTTTTACAGAACACTTTGCCCCCATCCATCTCTTCCCTTGCACTAGGTTACAGTTCCTCCCAAGACAGAGGGGATGCTCTTACCCAAGCAAATAATTGCAAGTCCCTCTACCTGTTGGCACGAAGTTTCCTTTTCAAAGGCATGTTAACACTAAGCTGCAAGAAATTAGCCAGACTGACAGGCAGGAAAGTTGTTGGAAGAAAATTTAGCAAGAAATAGGGAATGCTTTGTCGATGCGTCACTGACACCTCACTGTTCTGTTTTGCACTCCAGCCCCTTCCTGCAGCATTCAAGTCTTTCAGGACTCCAGTCATCTTTCATGTTTGCAAAGTGTTTTGTGGATAGCACCAGCAAGGCCAGGCTCTAATAGCAAAAATGAGTTGATTAGAGAAATGCACTTTAAAAAAATCACTCTGTAATTAAGAGTTATCCTGCTCCATCCAACACTACCCATGAGGAGTATTTCCAGTTTATATAAGGGTTTCAGCCATTTCTTGGAAAGGTATCAGGGCTCTGCTTTCCTTCAAAAAGATAGCAGATAAACTTTTGATCTCTGCCAATTCTATGGAACCGGGCAAGACTGCAGAGTCTCTCTCAGTGGAATGCTGTATTGGATCCCTGACCTTCAACACTTACTGCTGCTGTCAAGGTTTCAGGCTCAAGCTGAGGGGGGAGTTCCCCTCCTTTCCCAACATTTTCCTTCTGAGAAACTTTCCAGCTTCAGGAGATGGGTTTGCAAACAAAAGATGGGGCTGTTTCAGACAAAGGTGACTCTTCACATGGCTTTCTACAGCTGAACGATGGTATTTTCACTCTAAATTTTATCCTCAAAGATCCTGAGTTCAGAGAAGTTACAGACAGACATGGGATAGCCTTAGCACAACTGAAGTTGACACTGGCTACATCTTCCCTAATCAGTTATCATGAATGGCTAACAGTCCATATTTCCAGGTTGGTGCATGAATGTCATCGTTACTGAGCTGGCTGTACCCAGACACTCCTATTTTAAAGTCTCCAGTTCATTAAGAATTTAAAAAAAAAAAAATCAAAAGAAAAACTATTTTATTAGAAAAAGCTAGCATACTGCAACATATTCAGCATACTGCTGAGATAAGACCTTCTCATATCTCTGAAGGTTTCTAGACAGACTGCTTTTCTTTTGGAAAGCATGAAATAAAAAAAGAAAAAAACCTCGATTTTTAAAATTCAGCGTTGACAAAAACATACAAGATGTATTGAACAGTGAAAACAGCTACTTTAAAACAGCTAATCCTTGTGTGTGTCTGAACTTAACCGCGAAGTCTGAGGTCCCCAGCCTCTACCTACAGCCCAATATATTGCTACAGCACAGATCTAGAATCTCTTCCTATCAGTAAGCAATGCTCTCCAGAATGGGGGAAGAACTTTGACATCTGGATAAAGAGCTTTAACAGTGCAAGTAAGAGCTTTCAAGTGCACCGTGGAAGCATTGGAAGAAACCCAAATCCCTCGTATTAAAAAACAACAATACAGAAAAATTAAGGTCAACATTCACTTAAGCAGACTTCCCTGTTCCTTTGTAAAGAAAAAGTAAGCTAAGACATCTCAAAGCAAGCAAGCAGGTACAAATCTATGAGTGGAGATAAAATAATTAATAAAGATACATTTGGAGTTTGTATGTCCTGCTGTCAATTTGTGGTTACTTTTAAATTAGACTTAGAATAGATTATAAAAAAATATTTCCACTGTAACTATGTTTTCTAATTGTGAAAGTCGAACTTCCGCAGTAGTATATCTTGAGAAAGAGTATATGCACTCCATGGATAGAAAAATAGGCAATCCAAAAGCCGAGACACAAAAATCAGCACTGAAGTGTGGAGTTCCCTCTACTGGTTCTCCCTTGAAATTTCATGGCTTGTTGATCTTTTTTATTCAGTGTTCACTTTGAACATTTTCACTGCAGGAAAACTAGCAAGATAGTTTTCTCAATGAAAGAACATGTTTTAAAAGAGCTCTTGAAAATTATAGTTTTAGCCATTTTAAGCAAGCCAGCTATCTCCCACCATTACAAATCACTACATTTGCCACAACTCTTCAACCGTGCCTCTGAAGTGCTATGCTGCATGGAAATGCATCTATTTAGTTTTAGAGTGCTGAATAAACCCTAAAGCTCAGTTATGAGTGAGGATATGCAACTAATAAACAGTAACAAAGCAACTAATAGTTGCTGCATGTTGAGATATGCACTTCCTCAACAACAGAAACGGTTTACTTTGTGAGAATCACTCAGCGATTACATGTTAAGACAGTCCAGGATCCTACCCCAAAGAATACAAGTTTATAAACGGATAGACTATCTTGTACCCATTGAACAGGCCAGACTTCAAGGAAGATTTTTGACACCTAAAGCCTTTATATAGACTCTACCTATAAAAAAAAAAAAGTACAGAAGAACTTCACATGAGATCCATGAAGCAGAAAGGACATACTAAGCCAACTACACGCTTGTTCCTTAATTTGGAGCACCAAAATGAATCTGATGTTTGGTCGCTGAGGTTTTGACAGGTGCTAGAAACATATGGGAAAGGACAAATATTGTCATAATTATTAGTCAGTTTTATCATTTTACTTGTGGAACATTCCGTATCTATTAATTACACAGAGGACCGAGGAGAGTCCTCTGTCAAAGTCCTAGGTCATTGAACCGTGTGGTTCAGTTTACCCTTCCATTCTTAGGAATCAGCTCTGTTCTTCAGAAAGTTGCTTCCCCCAGTTCAGTCTTTGGCTCTAGCTTTTCAACCGATGTCCTGATGATCTTCTTCTTTCAGCTCATGAACTGATTCCCATCTTATTTTAGAGTTCTATGATAATTTGAAATATGAGCTACAGTACTATGAATTTCATATTTAAATTTAATTATTAAATTTAAGTCTTCTGATCATTCAAGAACTTCTGACTCAAAATAGCACACACAGTCACTCATCACATTTCGTGTCACCCTTAGAAAAAGAAGAAAAAAGCACAAAGACTATTTACCTTGTGGATGTGCTTGCCTTCTCCACTGTGGACATGAGTCTTGCAAACGCATCAGTCACTCTGCTTGCATTGGAAGTTTCCAGTTTTGAGGTTGTCAATTCATACAACTCAGGATCCACACCTTATAGTATAAAATGATAATCAGTGATGGTTGGAGGCAAGTATAGCCATAATTAGCCACAGACCAACTTGCTAGAGACTGTTTTCTGTAAACATCTGCATCATTTATAATTTCAAGATACATGAAAAGAACATGACAGAAACATGTCTGCATTTCTGAAACACTGTCCTCTCTCCCCACCCTTTTTCAGTAGCTTTTATAGTTGTACTACAAAATACACACACATTGCATCAAGTCTGGCATACAGGGTCTCAGTCTAAGAGTAAACAAAACAAATTTGATTTACCTTTTATAGTGAAACAGCTGTAAAAATGTCAGCTGTGTTAAAATGAATTGTTTCAATTACTTCAACTGTTTATATTAAAAGAATGCTGCACGTTAACAGGGACCAACTCTTTAATGAGAGATTACACACAACACTGGCATGCATTAGATAGCATTTAGTATCTTGCTTTTCACAAGAGGCTGTGTTAAAATTTTTTTAAGTGAGGAAGAGCAGCTTTTATGATACATACAAGTGGAATGGCATTAAAAAAGTTACATACTGATATGTATAATGCTACCAAAACTTTCAGTCTATGATCCCTTTTCATCTTTCAAATATTTCTAAAGCATCAAGTATCTGGATGTGTCAACCTTGATTTCCTAGTTTCAGACAACTGAAGTCAGATGCTAAATTTTGACACCACATATACTGTGAATGGATTTCAAATTTTATTAGAGGTCATTCTGAAAACAATGCAAACAACGGAAACTTGCATGCAAAAAAATACATATGTATGGGTGAAATTCTACCTGTTTAATATCAAGCATCACACCTCAGTAGGAAGTAGTCCTAGAATTTCCAGATATTAAGTATGTTTTCTTTAAAACAGTCTCTAGGAATTAGAATTGTCAAAATAAATCACGAGGAAAGACTGTTACAACACATTTTGTTGCACAGAAGCATTTTAAATTGGTGATATTCTTCTAGTTACAGTCTCAGCTATTTTATGCTTCATGGGTTTAAATGAAGTATGCATATGCGCCATCCACAATTATAAGTATTTTTCAAAAACAGCATAGAATTTTTGTACAGAAGGATCGTGTTTTATAGACAGCTGCATTCTAAACAAGTGTAACACTAGTGCCAACTGGTTTGGACAACACAGAAGCATTTCATACTACTGCAGAACAAACGCTGCAAGTACTTGAACACAATGGTCCCATGCCATGTAGCTACCTAATATAAAACCAGCATTTAGAAACTGATAAGGTGATGATTTTACCCGGTTTACTAGCCTGGATCAAGACAATTTTAGAATTACTCCTCCTGAAATACCAAAAGATTACTAAATTTAAAAAATGCCTGTGCCTATGGTCCTGCCTTTTCCACCCAGTAACTGCAGTACTATGTGCACAAACAGACGAGGTTAATAATCCTCATGCCCGCTTTCCACGAACTCTCCCCAAGCAGTGTCTTGACCATTCGTCATTTGTGCACAAGTTAAGTACTCTTTTATTGCTAGGAAACTAAGCCAACCAAGAAGTAAAATTAAGAAAATCATCTGGTTAAGCTGCAGGAGCTGGGGGAGGGGGAGAAGATTTGTTCCATTTAATATGAGTTGATTAGAAACTAATCAGTTCTCCTTTCAATCTAGATTTTTTTAAGTCTGGATTTTCAAAGTTAATTTCATACAGTTTCATGCAAAAGATCAAAATATGTACTGTCCTGAGACCAGTATACCAAGACTTTAAGCATTGTCAGATGTTTACAGAACTTGGAAACAGAAGAGAGCCCAGCTAGTCCATAAAATACCACTTTCAAACAGGGAGAGGAAGACTTGAAGAAATACACTTTGACTTGCAGAAGCCTGTGAAATCCCATTAAGGTACAAATTGTAAAACTAATTGAAACAAGGAGTCCTTTGACATGCAACTCTGCAACAAATGTTAAATGCAACCTTGTAAGTTACATTATTTAGATATTCACATTTACGGTCCTGAATTAATTTTCATTGTAGTGCGATGTCACTGCTCAATTTACTGTTCTTTAGGCACCTCTTACTCAGCTACATTTATGTTGAACCATCAACATGAAAAATAAAACAATACACTACATCTGTGGGAACATACCAGAAACGAGTAACTCCCTCTTCATGACATAGAGTGCAAATTTTAATAAAGAGTGATTTTGGCTACTGATGAAATCAGACTGAGAAGAATACAGTATGTATCTATAGTAAGTAAAATTAAGGTCTTCAGAGAAAGAACAAGCTTCCGTTACTGATAAAAGTTTCTTCTTTAAGCCAAAAGATCTAACAATTTGTCTTTCAATTATTTTAGTTATTTTTAAGAGTTGCATATTCTCCATTTTATTGAAATGATTAGAGAATATTTAAGGAAAGCACTGCAAAACCTTAATGAGATATTGAAGGAAAGTTAGCCAACCAAACCCCACACAAAGCTCCTAAACACACACACACAAACACACGAGCTGCAAGCCAAGAAACAAATGACTTTCCCAGAAACAAGTCAGGAGGAAAGAAAAGCCAAAACCAAAGAAACAAAAATAGGCACTATAGGGCATACCAGGGAAGGTGATAATACCTGTAACTCAATGAAACAACATCATAAAAAAAAAATTGCAATAAGAGGCTAACAGATTAACCCTCCAGTAATCACTTCAAGTGTGTACACCGTCAGGACACAAGAATGTGCCCGACTGCACAAGCAGTACATGTACTGGGTACTGATGACTTTTATGTCGATAGACTTGCACGCACTTACAAAAGAATCTGTAAGAATCAAGCACCTTGAATTTGCTACCTATCACTTCCACGACAAACCTGCCATCTTTCATCTGATGATGACATTTCTCAAAGGTGGAATAAAAAGCCATTTGGAATGTGATGCCATAAAATTGCCTTAAATGATCAGATTTCAAAACTAAAAAACCAAAGCTTTTGAAAAACAAAAAATATAATAATAATTACAAGCACTTATTTGAAATGTGGGAAAACCCCAAACCTCTTAAAAATTAATTTTTTAAATTAAAAATCACTAAGAGAAAAAAAACCTGCTTCCTATAGAGAAAGTTGTTATCATCAAGGTTTCAGGCATTGTATTGAAAGAGTATTTGCCTTATCTACTTAACCTATGTACTGGGATAAATCCCCAGAATGTTCCCTTAAATTCCTGCAGAAATTTATTCTAAGTGTAGGTTTTCACAAGCTCATGCAAAATACTCAGAGCGTGTCAAAACCATGCGATAAGTGAATTCAATTACTTTCACGTATTATGCAACAGAGAGAGTGGTGTTTTTGTCTCCTTTTAAGGGAGTAAGTTCAGATAAAGTGCTTTGGTTTTATAATTAACATTCATGAACTTCTGATGCCCCACAAACATGCAACTACCCTTATTTTCCATTATGAATGTTGTTAAAACACTTTTTTCACTTTATCATTAATATTAGTAGTTCACAAAGAAAAAATTTACAGCCTCCTGGCAGCAGCAAAAACCAGCGGGGTTGTGATATGTTAAGTCCCATGAATTTATATTCACACATAACTTCCAATAACGTCACGATCCTACAATTTGGAAGCATTCAGAAGAGAGAACAAGCCTCATTTTTTGGGAATCATCACATCTACAGCATTTTCCAATTTTTCTTAAGTGCTTAGAAAAGTTAACTTTCAAAATTTCTCATTTGAAACAAATGTTTTAACATCTTATTTGCAAGAGCGTAAGAGCCATTCATTCCTTTGGCATGTGACAAATACAGAACTGACAGTACCTTTTAAATACTTCGCGCTCGATACAAAACATCAGAAAACAACACAGATCAAAGGAAAAACGCAGTAGAAAGACATTCTAGAGAAATGCAATGTAAAATTTCTCCTTGTTTATAGGAAAGTCAAGTGATGTGCTCATGCTTTTAGTAAGTCGTTATAATATTACATTTGTGGTTTTAACACTCTGCTGACCTGGGATTGTGGTGGTGCTGCTAGAGCTACTGTCATCCACGGGCCCAAAGAAATCAAGGTTCAGAAGAGTGGAACCTCCACTAGCTTGAAATTCAGTGACCGTGTTGGTAGGCAGCCATATAGAAGGTAAGCCAAGGGAGGGGTTTATGTGTAAAAAGGGGTAAGACACACACTTGAACATGCAAGTTATAATTAGTACTCAGTACGCAATTTAAAAATTGACATGAAAACAATGCTTACAGTATTAGTTTGTACCTTCTAAAATGTTAACAACTTAATTCAGTGCACATTTCCTCATGTACAATGCAGCAAGGAAATCAACACTAGTAACTTTAAAATAGAAATATTTATTTCAATCTAAAAATGAAAGAACCAGCACGACCCAGAGAGAAAGATGTGATCAGTTAAAGGGAAACAATATATAGGTCAATTGATAGTTAGAATATAGTGGGCTTTTCTCCCCTCACTGAAATTGAAAGCCATTCTTTCATCAGGAAGACTTAGCAGATCCCCAGATAGGAAAGCACCCAAAAAAACCCTTCAAAGTTTTATTTAGCAGCTTTAAGCCATTAATTATCATTATCTTAAAGCAGTGTGAACACAGAGTAACAAATGCCTGTCTTATATCCAGTTCCTCACTGGTAAATTATACTGTTCCCCTTTAGTACTAAACCAGAAATCAAACCAAGATACATTTTAAAGAAGTTGTTTGTTAAAAAGAAAGCATGATGATTGACTGAAGTAGTAAGACACCAGACAACAGCAAAAGGGTCCATCCAGGCTTTCCTTCAGCACCATGATATTGTTATCCAAACTCTTAACATCCCACATGTTCTGAAGCAACACCATGAGGCAACACCAGTGCAGTAAGAGATGCAGCTTATTTTAGCCTGCTTTTGAACAACTTGTGTGTCATGAATTAACTGCTGTTAGCAGGCTCCTCATAAAGGTATCAGTTTCTTTACAGGTTTCTAGTCTGTCAATCAAACAAGTTTCCAAAACTTGTTTTATTTACTTTGCATGCACTTACATTTCTGAGAGTGGAGGTGGTGGCACAACTCACTTTGCTATTAAAATAGACATAGGTGAAGGGTCTTTTATGCGATAACTATATACATTTACAGAAACAAGTAAGTTGGCAGCTACCTCTTTAATTTAATATATTAGCTATAATTAGCTCTTGAGTGTAAGCAAAAGTGATAACAGATGAAGTCACATTTTTGAAATATAAAATTATCTGTAAATCTGAAAACTCTCAGCTCAAGAAGTGTATCTTTTGCAAACAGTTTATGGTTAAAATATTGTGCTTTGAAGTAGCCACTATACACAAGTTTGTCATTCAAAGGATGTCTAAAGAGATAGTTCATTGGTGAAAAATACTTTTAAGAAGTAAAACTTGTCAATCTAAAATGCTCTTTTGTTCAGAGTTTCATTATAATCTGCAGTTATGTATATAATGCAGTGTTAATATTGCCACTGTGTCATTAGCATATGGCAGGAATCTAAAATACTTAACTTAGTTTTTCAGACTACATAATACTTCACGTAGGGGCACAGTTAATGAGAAAGAAAGCCTGAATTTCCAAAGTTAGGAGTAAGAAATAAATATTATATA